TGTATATACAAGTGTATTTCTGTTAAGCTTGCCATAGTGTTTTTACAAATTATATTGTATACACTGTGATAAAACAACACAAATTTCAGGGTGTTTCATGCAAAATAACAGAAGATATCTGAGCAATAGTCTGAAATACATCTGAGACTTCTAGAAAAAACGGAAGATTCTTAACACAAAACACGGTATGCTGAAACTGGGATGATACTTGAAATGGTAATCATTTGCAGACTGAAGGGACCATTAGATCATATCACCTGATGGTCTGTGCACATCACACTACTGAAAAATTGGAGGAAGTCAAGTTGTGGTTGACTGCTGCATACCCTCCAGAAAGGCAGACAATCAACTGCCTTTGACTTGGGGACATCACTCTACCATCTTCTATGATCGTCTTTTCCAACAGCTAATTTTTCTTACTGTTCACAATTTCTTCTTTATTTCCAATCATAACTTGCCAAGGATGAGCTTTCAGACAGTTGTTTTCTTTGTATCCTCCTGCATTGCACTGCAGAGAGGTGTAGAAAATAGCATTTTCTGTGAACGCACTTGCAGGTAAAATCAAACCTCGACCCTCATTCGGACTAGTCGATAAGATTTTTAAGACTCCCTGCAAGGAAACGTCTTCAATTCATGAAGCAGTGCTTCTGTGGCCCTCTGTGATTTCCCATGTGCTCTGAAATTAATACTTATGGGCCACAGAATGCCTCTACCAGCATCTTGAAAGCTCTTGAATGAAACTGGACCTGTTGATTTAAGAATGTGTATCCCTTATTTAACATCTTCATTATATTAACGTTCTTCTGTAACAAACGGAGTGCTGGTCCATCTTCCTCTTGTGATATAATTTACCATCCTGTTCCTTCTGATACTGAGAACAGAAATATTTATTAAATACATTTGCCTTGTAGCATCAGTGTTAATAATTTTATCACTGCAATCTAGAAATTGAACTATAAATCACTGCGATTTATTGTATTCCTAACATTAGAAAAAGACATCTTCCCCAAGGTCTTTATTGACTTCCTATGCTCTGTTCTCACTGAAATATAGTCATTTCTGTTTCCACTTCTCTTCACACAATTTTTAATGAGTATTCTAATCGCTGCCATGCTGTACCACTGAACCAGGAAGGTTGGTAGCCAAATTTGTCCTGTCTTTTGATTGCATCATTCTGCCTCAAACATGTCCCAAATAGTCTTTCCAGTTCTCAGCCACATTTTGTCCATCTGAAACTTTCAAGCTGCCTACAAGACAGGTTAGAAATGCTGAATTCCTCACACAAACCCTTCTATCCCCTCCCCATGGGCTGACAGGGATGGGGGGGAATGTAAGATTCCTGAGTCCTTTTCTTTTTGCATCCATTCCAATGCACCTCGAGGCAGCCATGGGAAGAAGCCTGTTTCCCATGAAGGTCTGGGACTCTCCTTCGGCCCTGCCCCTGAAGCATCTGCTGTAAGACAGTGCATGTTCGTTCCTCCTCCCTTCATGGGCTGTGCTGAGACACAATGGAGCACATGACGGAGCTGTGTTTTGCTACTGGTACTACAGACACCTGCCTCTCTGGGGAAAAAGTGAGAAGACGGCTTGTGCTTTACACAAAGTCCCTCTTCCTGCAAAAAAAAAAAAAAAAGAAAAAGAAAGAAAAAGAAAAAAAAAAAGCAACAGCTTGACCAGCAAGAGTTAAGGCTTTTGGGATGGGTGTTAAAACCAGCTCTGCACCGTCTTTTGTGCACTTTTCTGCACAACGTGGTTTTGGCATGTCGGGAGTATCTCACCCTCACATAGCTCCTAAAAACCACTGTCTGCCTCCTTACATAGGACCACTCCTCCATCTCCCTTTTGTTTTCTTTCTTCTTTTTAAAATCCCCTGTTCCTCAGTAACAGGCTAACAGCATGTCAGTTGTCCTGAATGATTTTTCCTTCTGTTGCTTCAAAGATTTTCCATATTTCTGGGTGTCTGATAAGCTTGGATGCTGGATGCTGGGTGCTGAATCCTCTGCGCTGGGTGCAAGTATGAGCAATAATCCCAAAAAGTTTCGGTGGCAGCAGGCATGCAGGCACTAGTTGTGCGATGCCTGACCTACAATTTTGACCCTTCCTGGGGGAAATCCTACACAGAAGCAAGGTTTCCCCACCCTGAGTGATGATTTGGATGTGAAAGTATAACGATAATTCCACTTCAAGGTGGGAGTTGTTGCCTCACTGTTGGGATTCTCTGTCCCTAGATGCAATGGCAACCCAAGCACATTTGGCAACAGTGCGGACGTTTGCAAGACCAAGATCACCAAAGACATTTACTGTTCACGACACTTTGGCTTTCCTTTAGAAGCAGCGGTCAGACCCAACGTGTAATCATAGGAAACAGATATATGAGCTACACTCATGGTCACACCGTAATGCCATTGTCCCCTGGCTAATTGCAAAGCTTCTGAGCTCCCAGAACAACACCAAAAGGCACTCAGTCTTCGGGAGAATAGAAGGTCTAAAAAGAAAAGTTCAACTGCTGAACATAAAAGAAGAGGAGCATCACAGAAAAGAAAAGAAAACATCAGAAGGGATTCATTCAACCATTTACCGAGTCTAAGCGTAAAACAAACTCTGGCCAAACTTACAAACACTTATGTCAAAAAATGGCATATTGCTCCTCTAACCCTCAGCTCTCTGTATTTCTGTGTTTTCCATTGGGTCACAATAACTATACAGCTGCTGCTCTACAAGGTTGTCTTCCCTTTTTTTTTAAAAGGAAATAAAAGTTATGCTTCCTTCTTTTATTGCGCTTGACCTCCTCTCTGAAAGCAGAAAGCAAGGATATTGCTCAACTGAACCTTTGGCTGTGACCCTCAAATTGTTTGTTATGGCTGCACAGGAAAGCAGAGTCCTACATATGACCTTGAGGGTGATTTTGTTAAAATCAATCAACAACTATTATGATGGCCTCCCCACCAAGCAAAATAAATACAATTAAACCCATAATCACTTCTGTACAGTAATGTGCAAATTCAATGGGTCTCTTTAGGTGGAGTTGGAGGGCAGGGGGAAGAAATATGTTGAGGCTATTTGATACTTTGTGAGAACATCAGAAGCACCATTCTTCTCAATTAACCCAGCAATTAGCCTCCACCTCTCAGCCCAGAAAAGAAATCTTTCTTTATCTGTCTTTGCCGAAGAAAAAAAAAAAAAAAGGAAAAGAAAAAAGAAAGTGAGAAAAACTAGGAAACTCCATCTGTCCCA